CAGTAGTGCACTTGGATGCTTTTTAAGTGATGCTTAATGCACAGTAGACTATTTTAGTGCACATTAGTGTAATGTCACTGTTTTATGTGACACTCTAATGTGCAGTAAAATAGTTTCCTGAGCATTAAAGCACACATGTAGACAAGCCCATTGGGAGACATCAATCCCCCTCAGAATCTGCTGAATTTAAGTTAGATGAAACAACTCACAACTCAGATGCAGGCTGAAAGACCCAGCACAGCTGGTAGAATTAGTTTGCATGAGCTATAACAGTATCAAAGCAACTGCTAGAACTTTGCTAATACAATAGTGTCAGACTTGCTCCCATGAGGTAGGTACATGTAGGTGTAGTTCCTGTAAACATTAGAACTACAAGTGGAAATGAATGAAATTCTGTTAAGAGATACCATGACTGCACTCAGCACTACCACAAAAAGAACAAGGTGTTTCACTGAACAAGAGGAAAACAGGATAATTAAGTTGCTCACATTTACCAAGAAAGAGCAGAAATTGTATATTTAGGTCCTGCAGCTCCTGAAACTGAAACACAGGTCAGGGTGGTCTTGGTTTTGGCTCGGAATCAGCTGAAGTTAAACAGCTTGCCATCCATTTGGTAGTTTAGCTCCACTCCAACTGGAAGCTTGTTGGTGGTCATATGTAGTATTGTGGCAAAAAATACTGAGAAGAGTGTTGGAACAATGATGCAGCCTTGCTTAACTTCCATGTTAACCTCAAAGGGATTTATGATAGATCCATTACTGAGAAGCACTGCTCACATACCATCATGGAACAGGCAGAGAATGATGACAAATTTCAGTGGGCTTCAATACGTCAGAAAGATCCTCCACAACACTTCTCGGCTAACAGTGAAAAGCTTTTGTGTGGTCAAAATAGGCCATATAGAGAGACTAACATTGTTTCCAGCATTTCTCCTGCAGCTGGTGAGCTGTGAAGATCATGTCAGCTGTATGTATTGATGCCCTAAACCTACACTAAGATTCCAGTAGGATTCTGGGAGGAGCTCTTTAGCAAACTGCCACAGTTTGGTCCATGGCTGCTTATTCATCAGTTACCCCTGCCTATTTCACAGCTAAACATCCATGAAAGTCATTCCACTATCTACCACCTGTGGATGTGCTGGGTAGCAGTACAGCTCTGCCTACATCTTGTTATTGTTATTAGAGACATTCTGAAATCTTTCTGAGACTCAAAGTTGGACAAGAAGGGGAGGTTAGTATCAATTGGGTCAGGGATGCCCGAGTAAGGGAGACTCCTTATCCTCCATCAAATCTGACCTCATGAAGGAACACCTTGAGAGGCTGGATACCTT